CCCCAAAACCCCAAAACCCCAAAACCCCAAAACCCCAATTAGCATAAACTTCATTGAATTTAAAAAATAATGGAATCTCAAAATGATGGGGAAGCAATTCCCTTCATCCAAATAGATGTTGATGGCCTTTTCGAAGTCAATAGCAATGCAATGAATCTGATACAAGAATGGGATAACTCCAAGAAAATAGCTATACTCTGCATTGCAGGCCCTTATAGATCAGGAAAATCATACCTTGCCAATAGGATTCTCAAGCAAAACTCAGGCTTCAATATCGGAAGTACAACAATGGCTTGCACCAAAGGTATCTGGATGTGGAATAAACCAATAAGAATCAACGATAAAGTAGACGCAGTCTTACTCGATACCGAGGGGTTGGGATCTACCGAAAGAACAACAAACACAGATATTAAAATATTTTCTCTATCCATTCTCCTCTCTTCTCTCTTCATTTATAATTGTATTGGGACAATCTCTGAGTATACCCTTGAAGACCTGGATTTGGTATGCAATCTTACTGAAAACATTCATGTATCAAAGTCACAAATCGAAAGTGGAGTGGAATTCAGAAGATTCTTTCCCTCCTTCATGTGGGTGCTAAGGGATTTCTATCATGAATTAGACCCTGGAAATACTCCAAGAGACTACATGGAGAAATGCCTCGAACAAGTGCCTGGTGCTACAGAAGATATCCTCAGGAAAAACAAGATTCGCGAAGGGATAACTAAATACTTCAAAGATAGAGATTGCTACACCCTTATCAGACCTCTCAATGATGAGGACGAGCTAGCTCATATTGAAGAGCAAGATTTCACCTCTCTCAAACCAGAATTTCAGGACCAAATGAATCGAGTGATTAAGAAAATCTACTCAAAAGCAAAACCTAAGATTATTGATGGAAAATCTTTGAATATCTCAATGTTCTTGGCTCTCACCCTTGAATATGTTGATTCGATAAATCACGAATCTACTCCTACAATCTCGACAGCACTCGACAGAGTTATTTATGCTGAGAGCCACAAAATCATGGATAAGATAGACGAAGATGTAAGAGCAGAAGTTGATGAAAGAGCCAAAAGAAATAGGTTCCCAATGGAGAAAGATGATCTTGACGAAATCATGAGTCGAGTTAGAGCTAAATATATTGAACGAATTCACCAAGAACTCTCGCCCATCCTCGAGGTTGATGAGATCCTTAAATACCAAGGAAATTTCCTTGATACCTTTCAAAGGATAAGCAATGAAAAATCAGATGAGAATTATACAGAATCCTTCATTCTGAACAGTAGTATTCTTTCACAATTAATGAGAAGCGTTCCCTTCATGAGCACTTCAGGAGAAGAAAGCAAAAGTGGGACTACATCTGTAGAAGAAGGCGAGCATTATTCCTTTTGCAAGACTCTCTTCAGCGTCCTTGAAGAGTACCAAAAGAACTTTAAAGGTCCAGCAAAATTTGACACTCTCGCAGAATTCATCATTGAGAGTAATTTTGTCGATGAGAAAAGGCTCATCAACGATGATGAAAAACTAGATTTCAAAAAAGAGAAGAAATACTTCAGCTATATCCTCGCCTTTACAGAAAACCTCATTACCACTGTTTACAAGTCCAAGCAAGATGAAATCCGAGAGCTTCTGATCGAAGCCGAAGCCAAAGATAGAGACCTGATTAATAAGAAAAAGAAGCAGGAAGACAAACTGGATACTGTCCAAAAGGAAATCGAAGGAATCCGAGCTGAAAAATTCCAACTCGAGCTAAGAATCGACCAATATGAAAGACAAAAGCATTCAATGGATGCTGAATTTGACAACGAGTTCAAGATGAAAGAGATGGATTTTGAGTACAAGATCAAAATCCTTAAGGCTGAGCAGACTGAAACTGAGAATCATCTCAAAAGTCTTAAGGAAGAAAGAATCAAGCTAAAGGTAAGTTTCATACAAATCCTACATAGACTTCTAATGAAGAACTCCAGAAACAAATTAATCAAATCGAAAAGGAGACTCTCATGGAGGTATCTGAATTAGATAATCAGATCGGTTTGATAGAAAATGATCTAGAAGATGTCCGTCAAAAAGTAATAGACAAGCAAAACAACCCCAAAGTCGAGCAAATGACTGGATTCTTCAATGATGCTAAGGAATATATCGAGAAATACCAAAACGCTTTGGACAGGAAGGATGGACTTAAAAACCTCAAAGTAGGCTTCCTGAGCGCCCAGAAGAAGCTTAACGACAAAGAATTTGAAAACTCCCAAAATGAACTTAAACATAAGAAACAATACAATGAAGAACTGAAGAAGTTCAAGATCTCCAAAGAAGACGAGCTCAGAGAAATTGAAGAGGAGCTTGATAAGATACCTTCCTCCGAGACTCTCATAATCCTAAGAAATAAAGTCAGAGAAATGGAAGCGGATGTTGAAGAGCTCGAGTACAACAATGAAAAGCTTCGTAAATAAAAAGGCCGAAAGAGCAAGAGAAGTAGAAGACAAATAGCGAAACTCTTGGCCAGATCAACCAGAATATTGAGACTACTCAAATAGCTCAAAGAGATCTAGAAACAAAAATTTATAGGATGAGTGGAGATAATATGATGAAAATGATTGAGAAAGACGACTTAACTATGCTCCTCCCTGAGATAGTAAAAGCATTAAGAAGGCAGCCGAACGAATTGAAAGATAAAGTACAAGCTTTACCAGATCAGGACCTAAAGCAAGCAATCAGAAGCATTCTGATTAGTGTCTTTGGCCCGAAATTACAAAAATTGCCAGGAAGTGATAAGCTTGGGTTCTTTGGAAATTAATAAATTATTACTAATTTCAACCAATTTGTTCTTCTTTGGGGTTTTGGGGTTTTGGGGTTTTGGGGTTTTGGGG